TACTGCATTCACAGTGATTGCTGACTGGCTACCACATAGACCACATGATTGGAAACCAGTCCTCCCAGCTCCTAATTGTTTTTTTTTTAATCTATTTATTCAAATTTAAAAAAGAGAAGAACATACAAAACAGAGCCTCTGGGCATTCCTCTGCTCGGCAGTCACATCTAACATAGGTTACTAACAATGAACACTTTAAGAACAGCTACGAAACAATCTGTAGTATAAAACCTCTGCTCTGTTCTTCTAAGAAAATACTGACACTGTTGTACAGTTGTTTCTGCCACAGTGCCCAGACAAATGAGAATAAAGGAGACCAAGGAAACTGCTCCCACACTACTACAAGAGACCGAAAAAGCTTTTCTGTAGGCGATGGCCCACATATTCAGAAGTACAGGAGTAAAGCAATTACATAAATATTAGAATTATGATGATGCATTAGTGGTAGTGGTGCAAAGATGCCATACTTTGTCAAATTTAACCAGACAGCCTCGGGACTCATATGTGGCTTTGTACAGGGGGAAGGAGGCATTAACTAGAGCCTTCCAGGAGTCTAAGGAGGGTGTCCCCGGCATGTTCCATTTCAGCACAATGGGCTTTCGTGCATAAAATAGGAGGAGGCCAAGGAGGGTCTTAGTTGCTCGGCCCAAAGTTAATTGACCTACCAGCCCCAGTGTCTTGATTCCTTTGGAGGCCTACACCCCAGGGTCAGGTGTAGACAAAAATTCGGGGAGTTGTGGATTAAGCCATAGATGAGTATCAGGGGACGAGGTGCCAGTGGTATGTGATTGTTTGCCTATTACCAACTGCCATGCTCTGTCCTCATAGACTGGGTAAGTAAAAATGGGACTCTATTGCCTCTATACAGTAGGTTCTTCAGTGATTCATATGACCCCAGATAAGCCGCCTCTAAAGCTACTGATGAGTTAGAGTAGTCTGAAACCATTCAATTATGGGCATGTATAAGTAGGGCCACTATAAAGCAGCCTGAAAGTCCAGACATGGCAAGTACCCTTTAGTCCAAGGCCTGAGAAGAATCACCTTGCTAAATCTAGGGGCACAAGACTTCCAGAGGAAAGACGAGATTCTGGAATCAAGTTTTGTAAAGAAGGCTTTGTAGGTATCAAAATTATGGAGTGGCACAAGGCATATAACCATACAGGGAAGACTTTCATTTTAAGCAGATTTATTTCACCTATGAGGGTCAGGGGCAGATTGCTCAAAGCCTTTAATTTGAGTTTTCCATAGAAGACTGGAGAGGGTGTAGATTAAATTTAGTATATTCAGTCACATCAGGGGAGACAGTAATACCAAGATAATGTAAGGAGGTAGTCCAAGGTAAAGGGGGGGACACGTTTGCCACTTTTTTGGCCTCCTGGTTAAAAGGTAGTTTGAGGGACTTTCCCCAATTAACTCTTAAGCCAGATAGATCAGAAAAATGAGAGAGTATGTTTAAAGCTTCTTTGTGAGAGGTTCCTGGATTATTGAGGAATAAAGCCAAATCATCAGCATACAATGTCAGTTTCTCTCTTATGGTTTCCCACGCATATGCCCTGGACTGAATCAAACTGTCGTAAGGCAGTAGCTAGGGGCTCCATCGCTATATCAAAAAGAGATGGGGACAAGGGGCAACCCTGACACATACTTCTCCGCACTGGAAAAGCCTGAGAGAGCATACCCCCCGCCTTTATCTGGGCTGCCGGGGACTTATATAAGATGTTGATCTATCTACGGAATAGGGGACTAAAACCCAAGATCTGTAAAACTGTCAACATATACTTTCAGCTAACAGAGCCAAAGGCCTTTTTTATATCTAGGGCCACCAATATCCAGCTCCTGGAGTCATTAGAGGGGAGTTGGAGAGTGAGTACCCGGCAAAGATTGATACATGTAGATTTGCCTGGTATGAAGCAGTCTAATCAATATCTATCAATAAGGGCAGAACCCCGAGTAACCTGGTGTCAAGAACCTTTGTTAGATCTCAAAGCCATAATTCAAAAGGGATGGCCTACATGAAGCAAACAAGGTGGGATCTTTCCCAGGCTTTGTGATGAGAACAACATGTGCGTGGTACATGGAATAGGGTCACTCATCACCTTCCAGACAGGAGAATCAATGTTGAAGCTTAGGAGCCAGCTTGGCATAGGCTTTTTTACCACTCCACCAATGTACCATCGGGCCAAGAGACTTAGTGTTAGGGAAAGAGCCTATGGCATTCTCAATTTCAACGGTGGAGATGGGAGCCTCCAGGTCCTCCACCTCCTGGGCATTGAGGGTGGGTAGAGAGAGGCTCTGTAGCTTCATAAGTACAGCAGAGCTGGATCCAGGTCCTGACTGTTATTCTAAAACCTGGAGTGGTTAGTGGAAACTCAGTCTTGATACAGGAGGTACTGAGATGGAGCATGATTCAAATGCAAACACATACTACATATTTGCAGCACTGCCAAAGAAAGCTCACTTATATGTATTATGCTGCAGGGAGCTGGTTAAAACGTCCACCATGCTATCCACATATCCAGGAGCACATAATGTGATCTTTCACAGCTTATTATTCTACCTTTAAAACCTAACTCCAGGTATATTTTTATTTTGGCTAGAATAGGGAATAGGTAAAAAAAATCTGCTAGGTGTATGACCTTTTAAGGAGATTTTCCTTGACTTTCTGCCCCTGTAACACCCACACAAGAAAATGGCAGAGCGGTTGTCACTGGGGCATTAAAGCATTGACAACAATAAAGACATTCTACTACCATTGTTTTATTATATGAATTCAAAAGTCCAAGATATTTTCTCAAGGTTAGAGTTCTTGTAGTTTAGCAAATCCAATAAGTTGTTTCCGACACATGTGCTTTTACAAAAGATATGGAATAAAGCTAAGCAGCTTCAGCAGGTATCAGGCTTCACTTTTTAGAGCCCTGTATGGCACAGTAATTCCCAGTACACACAGTGAGAAAGTCATATGAACAAATGCTTTCAGAGCGATTGTTCCATAATCAGATTGTTAGTACACAGCTTTTGAGATCATGATAGTTGTGATGGGCCGAACACCCCAGTGTTCAACCATGAATTTCAGACTCAATGCAAGTCTATGGGAATCGAACTTGTAAATTCAAAAAATTTTAATTTTGAAGACTTACATGCAAGTTACATAGTTAGTCTGGCTGAAAAAAGACAAAAGTCCATCCAGTTCAACCATAAAAAAAAAAAAAAGTTATAATCCTACACCCACAGTTGATCCAGAGGAACGCAAAAAAACCCCAGCAAAGCATGATATAATTTGCTCCTGCAGTGGAAGTTATTGGTCATAAAAGGGGTATGGGGATTCGGTACTGCCTTGAGGGACATGAATCAGTGAAAAAATATTTTTAAAGAGGCGGTCATTTTTCATTACTTAAAGTGAAAAAAAAAAGAAATAAAACTTCCTTTAAATATCATGCCTGGGGGATCCCCCCAAACTACCTGCAAAGTTGCACTTTTGTACAACGTATAGAACCTGCTGCAGCAGGACTGACCTTATTTTTTAAAAAACAAATAAACAGTGTGGGATTCCCCCCCAATCCATACCAGACCCTTTAGGTCTGGTAGTAAGGTTGGAAGGGACCCCACAGAAAAAATGTTTTTTAAAAAATGCATGGGGTCCCCCCTAAAAGCCATACCAGGCACTTTAAGCCTAGTAGGATGTTTAATGGGAACCCCACCTCCCACAAATGGGAGGAAACAGTGCGTGGGGTTCCCCCTAAAAGCCATAATATCAGGCCATTTAGGCCTGCTAGGACTTTTAAGTAGAACCTCACTCCCAAAACATGGGGATCCCCCTAAATTCCTACCAGACCCTTGATCAGAGCACAGGCCTAAAAAGGCAGGAAAAATGGAGATGAACACGTGCCCCCCTCCCTGCGGTTTACCAGGCCACGTGTCCTCAGCATTGGGATGGTGTTCCCTTGCCAATGGGGACAAGGGCCTCTTCCCTACAAATCTGGCCCCGTGGTTGTGGGACTCTGTGGGCAGGGAAGCTCATTAGAATCAGGGTACCCCTTTAAAAAAGAGGGGAACCTGATGCTGCCCCCCCCTTCTGAATGAGTAAGGGGTACTTGTACCCATACCTATTCACGAAAGGGTTAAATTGAGTAAAAAATAAAGACACCAGCCTTTTGAAAAATTTCTTTATTGAACAAAAAACAAAACAACAGTTTTTGAGAAGTCCTTTATATTTTTAAAAAGCCAAAAAAAGGTTCCATCATTGTAATCCACTGTCAATCATGGCGTCCCGTGTTGGCACGATGACGCCAACATGCTGAATTAAGACAAAACCTAACGCCCGCTGATCGATCCGCACCCTCCGAGCACTCGCCCCAATCTGACATTTGCCGGTCAAAGGTAAACAATTAGGCAGAGCTAGTGGTGATGTCACTGCTAGCTCTGCCCAATTGTGCTGTGATTGGCCAAACCAATGCACCTGACTGCAGAGTGAAGTTCATTGTGGGGTACAGCGGGAAAACACACGAACGGCCGATTTTCAAGTTGAACATATGTTCAGCTTGAACATCACACCCATCCCTATTCATGTGAAAATATCCAAAAGGACAGGCACAAAATTATTACTTGTAAGATAACAAAACAAATGATTTTCATGTAATTTGTATAGAATTTGTAAAAAAAAAAAAAAAAATGAGTGACCAAGACCATGCATGCTGAAAAATGAAAGCAAACACTTACAATGCAGTGCATTCTATCATTTCGGAAGTTGTATTCTGTATTACAAAAATTTTCGGAACTTTAGTAACCTATTCATTTTAGATATGAGACTAGCATGCAAAAATAAAAAACAAAAAAAAACGGACGATCATTCCAATATTCATTGTGTATACTAGAGATGAGCGAAGTATTCAAAAATTCGATTCGGCTGATTCGGCGAATTCGAGGAATAAATACGATTCGATGCGAATATATTCGCTGCGATTTTAACTTATAAAAGGGTGTTTCTAGGCTTCAGAGAGCCTTTATATTAGTGCAGAACACTGTACCTTTAATTTAAATGCCCTTGGAGTCTGCTGGGGAAGAGAAATAACACTGTCAGTCAGTATGACATGCAGATGAGTGCCGTCGATCTTAGAATCACCGCACACTTCACTCATTTGGGCAGTCACGGGGCCAAAACCAGAGTGTGGAGCCACAGTGTGGCGGTGGAGGCAGCAGCAATGGGAGGCCATACAGCACCCTATGACAAAAATGGAACCCACCAGCAGTGTGAGGAGACCTGAAAGTGGCACATGGCAGAGTGTGGCGATGGAGACAGCAGCAATGGGAGGCCGTACAGGGACCCATGACACACTCTGGACCTGGCAGCAGCATTAGGAGGCGGTACAGGGGCCCATGGCAGATTAGGGGCCTGGCAGCAGCAATGGGAGGCCCGTAATCTGCCAGCACCCTATGACAAAATGGAACACACCAGCAGTGTGAGGAGACCTGAAAGTGGCACATGGCAGAGTGTGGCGTTGGAGACAGCAGCAATGGGAGGCCGTACAGGGACCCATGACACACTCTGGACCTGGCAGCAGCATTAGGAGGCGGTACAGGGGCCCATGGCAGATTACGGGCCTGGCAGCAGCAATGGGAGGCCCGTAATCTGCCAGCACCCTATGACAAAATGGAACACACCAGCAGTGTGAGGAGACCTGAAAGTGGCACATGGAAGAGTGTGGCGATGGAGACAGCAGCAATGGGAGGCCGTACAGGGACCCATGACACACTCTGGACCTGGCAGCAGCATGAGGAGGCGGTACAGGGGCCCATGGCAGATTACGGGCCTGGCAGCAGCAGTGGGAGGCCCGTAATCTGCCAGCACTCTATGACAAAATGGAACCCACCAGCAGTGTGAGGAGACCTGAAAGTGGCACATGTTTGGGGCATGATTCATGGCGGATTTAGTTGTGTCAGGAACTGGTGGTTTGAAATCCAGACTAATCCACGCCTGATTCATTTTCACAAACGTGAGTCTCTCCACACTTTGGGTGGACAGTCGTGTCCTCCGCGGAGTTACAATACCTCCTGCCGCACTAAACACGCGCTCCGATGCCACGCTACTGGCCGGGCATGACAGCCTTTCAAGGGCAAATTCAGCTAGTTGGGGCCAAAGGTCAAGTTTCGTTGCCCAGTAGTCAAGGGGATTGTCTACCTCGGTTGGCAGGGTGCTGTCCAAGTAGGCCCAAGCCTGTTGTTTGAGGTCCTGCTCCAGGTCCACCTGATGCTGCTGCTGCTGCGGCTGGTTAGTAGTTTCCTCACTGCGCTGGTGAATAAAGCTACTCATCATCGACTGCAGACTGAGGCAGCCGCTGCTGGTGGAGCTGCCACTGCTCCTACCACCCCACCCCTCCCCTGCTGCCATGGCAGCGGAACGCGAGCGCACAGGGCCCACAGTGTCTGAGGATGGACGTTGGCGCACAAAGGCAGAGACCAGCTGACTATATAGGTGGTTTTTATAGTACTTTATTTTGGCCTCCCTCTCAGCAGGTGTGAAAAAGGCCACCATTTTTGAACGGTAGTGAGGGTCCAACAAGGTGGACAGCCAAAAGTCATCCCTCTGTCTGATGGTTATTATTCAGCTGTCGCTACGCAAGCAAGCGAGCATGTTATGGGCCATTTGTGCCAAGGAATGCGAGGGACTCCCTGCCTCCATCTCCACAGCATACTGCCACGGTGCGTCTGGGTCCTCTGTCTCCTCCTCCTCCTCCTCTACCAGATGCTCCTGCTCCTCCACTCCTGTCCGCTGAGTGGAAAAACCACCCATTTCACTCAATAATTCCTGAGCACCAATGTCCTCCTCTACCTCCTCCTCTTCTTCCTGTCCTGCCCCCACAGGGGTCATGTGGCGTTGAGATCTGTGCGCCACGTCTACCGCACCCTGACCAGCCATTGTTAACAGCATTTGTTCCAGGACGTGCAACAGAGGAATGACGTCGTTCATCCCATAGTCCTGCCGACTCACGAATAGCATGGCCTCCTCAAAGGGCCTGAGCAAGCGGCAGGTGTCCCGCATGAGCTGCCAATGGCTGACATCTAAGTTACACAGGGGAGTACCTTTATCCGCTTGTAACATCAGGAAATCGGTGATGGCCTTTCGCTGTTCGTAAAGGCGGTCTAACATGTGTAGGGTTGAATTCCACCTTGTTGCAACGTCAGGCGATGCTGTGGAATTCCGTTCTGCCGCTGCAGCTCAAGGAGGGTGTGCTTTGCGGTGTAGGAATGGCTGAAATGCATGCAAAGTTTACGTGACATTTTAAGGATGTCTTGCAGTGGGATGGTGGATTTTAGGAACCGCTTGACAACCAGATTGAACACGTGAGCCATGCATGGCGCATGGCACAACCTTCCTTGACGCAGAGCAGACACCATGTTCTTTCCGTTGTCGGTCAACATGGTTCCGATTTTCAGTTTGCGCGGAGACAGCCATCTGTCGATTTCTCTGTTCATTACACTGAGAAGTTCCTCCCCTGTGTGACTACGTTCGCCAAGGCATACCAGGTGCAGCACAGCGTGACACCGTTGCGCCCTGCACATGTGATATGCCGGTCGGGTAATGGGACTTGGCACGGGGGTGGCGGCTGAGGACACGAAGGAAGAAGAGGTGGTAGAGGCGGACATCTTTTGTGGACCAAGTACGTGCAAAAGTGGAGGCAAAAGCAGCGTGAACTGTCCAAGTTGCTGGTGCGGCTGTACCGGCACCACGTTCACCCAGTGGGCCGTAAATGACATGTACTGTCCCTGACCGTAGTTACAGCTCCACACGTCGGCGCTGCCGTGCACTTTGGCAGAGACCGACATGCTCAAAGACTGGCCCACAATCTCTTCTACATGTGAATGCAGGGCTGGCACTGCCTTTTTGGTGAAGAAATGACGGCTTGGCACTCTCCACCGCGGTGCGGCACAAGCCATCATTTCTCGGAAAGGTGCTGAGTCCACCACTTGGAAAGGGAGGGACTGCAGCACCAGCAACTTGGACAGGAGGACGTTCAGCTTTTGCACTGTCGAGTGCGTGCTCGCAAACTGTTGTCTCTTGGAAACGGATTCCAAGAAAGACTGCTGACGGAATCCGTGAAGAGGAGTAGCAGGAGAAGGAGCATCTGAACGAGCGGAAGATGCCAACGAGCGACAACTCCCCTCAGCAGAGGTGTTGGAGCCTTGACTGGCTGATAGAGGGCGATTGACGTCGGGTGACGGAGCAAGTAACGGAGCGGGTGATGGAGCGGGGGCTGGGGCAGGCAGAACCGCTGTATCTTTATCACGGTTTTCCCAGGCCACCAAATGGCGACGCTGCATATGCTGACGCAACGCTGTAGTCCCAACATGGGCCCCCTGGCCACGCTTGACTTTCTGGCCACATAGTCGACATACGGCTACGTTTACTTCCTCAGGCGGCTTGACGAAAAATTGCCACACCGCCGAGTAGGAAACTTTGCCCCCGATACTCCTCACTGGCTGACTGCTACTTCCTCCGTGCACACACCGGCACCACTACTGGCCGTGGTGGTAGGCTGCAGTGGAGCTGGTGCTCTACTCCGTGGCCGTTTGCCTCCACTGACACTGCTGCGACCCTGCTGCTGTCTCCTGGGCAACCCACCGACTGTTTTGCTCGCTGCCAAGCTGCCACCCTCTTCTCCTGATGATGCGGAAGCAATAGCCTGATGACGACGAGGCTGCCAAGTGCGATCAGCCTCATCATCATCAATTAGGGTCTCCGCCTCACTACTAGCCCCCTCGGCTGCGTGTGGGTCAGGAGACAGACCTGTCTCTAGACCGGCTACCGAGCCACTCTCCTCGCCACACTACTTCTTCGCCTGGCTGCTGAAGAGGCGGATGTCTCCCCCCATTCCTGACCTCCCTCTGTTAGCTCTTCCTCACTGTACAGTGGGGCTGAGCCCACAGCATGCGATACTTCGCTTGGTGAGGGAACACCAAAGGACAGGGGCAGGTAGAGGACACGTGATTTCAGTGGGCTTGCTCCCGGGCCATGCCAACTAACGGTTGTGTCTGACGTACCCACCGACCGTTGGCTGTAGGTGTCAGAGGTGACCTGGGAAGAGGAAGACGACCGAGCCAACCAATCGATGACGGCAGGGTTGTCGGTGGAGACACGACCGCTGGATGACACCGGGAGCACTGGCCTCTGGCTGCGACTAGTGCTGCCTCGACCCCTTCCTCTGCTGCCACGTCTGCTCGCTCCTAAAACATTGCCTCCTCTGCCACTCCTCTGCATGTTGTCTGACATACTCTTTAATTAAACGATTCTGTGTCCCTGAGTAACAATTATGTGTCCCTGAGTAACAATTCTGTGTCTGTCCCTGAGTAACAATTCTGTGTCCCTGAGTAACAATTCTGTGTCCCTCAGTAACAATTCTGTGTCCCTCAGTAACAATTCTGTGTCTGTCCCTGAGTAACAATTCTGTGTCTGTCCCTGAGTAACAATTCTATGTCTGTCCCTGAGTAACAATTCTGTGTCCCTCAGTAACAATTCTGTGTCCCTCAGTAACAATTCTGTGTCTGTCCCTGAGTAACAATTCTGTGTCCCTAAGTAACGTTTTTGTGGCCCTATGTAACGGTTCTGTGTCCCTCAGTAACAATTCTGTGTCTGTCCCTGAGTAACAATTCTGTGTCTGTCCCTGAGTAACAATTCTGTGTCTGTCCCTGAGTAACAATTCTGTGTCTGTCCCTGAGTAACAATTCTGTGTCCCTCAGTAACAATTCTGTGTCCCTCAGTAACAATTCTGTGTCTGTCCCTGAGTAACAATTCTGTGTCCCTAAGTAACGTTTCTGTGGCCCTAAGTAACGGTTCTGTGTCCCTCAGTAACAATTCTGTGTCTGTCCCTGAGTAACAATTCTGTGTCTGTCCCTGAGTAACAATTCTGTGTCTGTCCCTGAGTAACAATTCTGTGTCTGTCCCTGAGTAACAATTCTGTGTCCCTCAGTAACAATTCTGTGTCCCTCAGTAACAATTCTGTGTCTGTCCCTGAGTAACAATTCTGTGTCCCTAAGTAACCTTTCTGTGGCCCTAAGTAACGGTTCTGTGTCCCTCAGTAACAATTCTGTGTCCCTCAGTAACAATTCTGTGTCTGTCCCTGAGTAACAATTCTGTGTCCCTAAGTAACGTTTCTGTGCCCTAAGTAACGGTTCTGTGTCCCTCAGTAACAATTCTGTGTCCCTCAGTAACAATTCTGTGTCTGTCCCTAAGTAACAATTCTGTGGCCCTAAGTAACGTTTCTGTGGCCCTAAGTAACGATTCTGTGGCCCTAAGTAACGATTCTGTGGCCCTAAGTAACGTTTCTGTGGCCCTAAGTAACGATTCTGTGGCCCTAAGTAACGATTCTGTGGCCCTAAGTAACGTTTCTGTGGCCCCAAGTAACGCTTCTGTGGCCCTAAGTAACGTTTCTGTGGCCCTAAGTAACGATTCTGTGGCCCTAAGTAACGATTCTGTGGCCCTAAGTAACGTTTCTTTCTGTGGCCCCAAGTAACGTTTCTGTGGCCCTAAGTAACGTTTCTGTGGCCCTAAGTAACGATTCTGTGGCCCTAAGTAACGTTTCTGTGGCCCCAAGTACGTTTCTGTGGCCCTAAGTAACGTTTCTGTGGCCCTAAGTAACGTTTCTGTGGCCCTAAGTAGCGTTTCTGTGTCCCTAAGTAACGTTTCTGTGGCCCTAAGTAACGATTCTGTGGCCCTAAGTAACGTTTCTGTGGCCCTAAGTAACGTTTCTGTGTCCCTAACTAACGTTTCTGTGTCCCTAAATAACGTTTCAGTGTCCCTA